CACTGTCAAAGCCAGTAATCTGTCAGAAAAAAAGCAAGCCATGCAATGAGTTCAGTCCAACTGCAGGGTCCCAGTCCTCAGACAAGCTTTCAGCTCCCAAAGGCAAGGACCAAATATCAGAGATAAACCAAGGATTAATCACAGCCAGGTGGGTGGGCTGGTTCATGTGCAGCACGATGAAGGCCGACAGGTTCATGCTTACATGCTTGAGGAAGACACTGAGGTTTGGGTGAGCCTGGGGGTTGATGGTGGCCTCAAATATCGGCATGAAAATATTCTCCAGCATCTTTCCAAAGTGTGGAAGGAAATCCTTAGATCGAAACACATCACTAGAGGCAAGAATGAAGAGAATTTAGGAGGACAGGAAGATTTTTAGGACTGATAGCCCCAGGATGAGGGAACCAGAGGACCGAATGCCATGTTCAGGAAAAAGCCTAATTATGTCCATCCCGGGTCCACTCTAGTACACTCTTCTTGGTTACCCATAAAAAGGGATGCAGTTGGGGTGAGCATAGGAAGTGTCAATTTCTTGCTGGGCCACATGCCTTCATCTCTTCTATAAATCCTCTGGTGGTAAGAAAAGTGAACTTTCACAGCTAAATGCAGTTAGAGAATGAGGAGTATAGGGACTGTGACATAAAAGGTTCAATTATTTATGTGTGTGGCACACAAGATGCTGAGCATGGCACAGTTATCAAGAACCATTCTGATATGCTCTAGCCTGGGGCAGTCCAACAAACTCCTATTATAGCACTCAGTATATTTTAGCCACTCTTCTAACTGGCCAGAAATATTAGCTAATTTAATCCTAATAAGTTCAATACTGTTGTTACCCCATTTTAAAGATGATAAAACAAAGGCAAAGAGAAGTCATATAACTTGTCCGAGGTCACACAGCTAGTAAGTGGTAGAGCCAGGATTCAAGCATAGCCAATCTAGGTCCAGGGTCCATGCTCCTAACTACCACACCTACTGCCTCTCTGACTTAATGATATTAGACAGAAAGTACTATTCCAGTCAAAAAGTTACTTTTTTGGCTAAAGAGACAGGATAAAATTTTTGTATTGCCACAGGTTGCACAAAACATGAGGTAGGTGGCCAGAAAATATATAAACACTCACGTTATCTAAATGCTCAATGACATGGAACATCTCTGAGGGCAAGAGTAATTAGCAGATGTTAACACCAGTGATAAATACTCATTGATTATGGAGAACTTGAGCACTTGCTGATGAGACGATCAGCAAACAGTGAAAGTGGTTCTGATACAAGGAAGCTGCATCCCAGTACAGATGAGAATGGAAAAGAATGAACTGGACACAGAGAGGAAGAGCAGGAGAAAGAAAGTGTATAGTAAAATGTATATCATTTTCTTTTTTTCTAATTTTTTTCTTTATTGATTTTAGAGAGAGAAAAAGGAGAGGGAAAGAGAGATAGAAACATTGATGAGAGAGAACATCGATTGGCCACCTCCTGCATGCCCCCCACTGGGGATTTGGCCCACAACCTGGGCATGTGCCCTGACTGGGAATCAAACTGGCGACCTCTTGGTGCATGGGTTGCTGCTCAACCACTGGGCCACACCGGCCAGGCTGTATATATTTCTTATCCTAGCTAAGTTTTAATCATCCTCAGTAAGTTATTTTGTGATCTACATAAAGTTCTGTGTTTTAAAACACAAAAACAAAAAACCCTATGGTTAGAAAACTGAACTGAAATAATCTTCCTAACTTCTGTCTGTGGCCAGGAGTGCTGAACCCAGAGTGAGCAAAATCTGGCACCCAGGACCCACGACCCAGTACTAAGAGCTTATTTCTGTCTGGATATGCTGCACATTTCTTGTTCATGGAGAGGAGGTGAGGCTTTAGAGTTTCCGGTGGGCAGGTACATACTAGATCCTAGGGACCTGGATCATCCATGTCATGTTGGGGCAGTGGATGCGGTTGAGGACAAACCAGGTGGAGAGTTTGCTCCACTCATCAGGACTGCGGCCATAGATTGACAGGCGGGGCTCAGCGTGCTGGTACTTGGCCTCCACTAGGTCTGTACCTACCTCCTGCAAAGTCAAAAGAAGAGTCCAAAGCTAGGAATTCCCACAAGTAAATCGGAGGTCTAAGGACAGGGGATGGGTACTAAGAAGAAAAGAGGAAATGTGAGAGGAAGTCAGTGGAAAACTACCACGGTTAAGACCTAAGGGAACAGAGTTGAGGAAAATCTAGTGGGAGTAAAAGACTGATGGGCCATTATGGAGTCTAGAGAGTGAAAAAGTCAGACTGAGCATGATGAGATATCCAAGGCACCTGCAAAAGAAATTGAGTTTTTCATATGCTTCCTGCCTCCCAAAACACATATCTCCCAATTCCACATGCCATTCTTGCTTCCTAAAGCTCAGGCATCTTGAAGAGGAGGGCGGATTCCAATCCCAACTCTTTCTGAGTTTACAAGTCCCAAAGCCTGAGAGGGCCAGGTCCTTAATCCCCAAACCACATCTTTAGCCTGTCTATCCTAGGAACAGAGGTCTTTTAAATTTATGGTAGTGGACATTTCAGAAGAAATTCTTTTTTCTTCCAAACTTTTTTCTTTATTGATTTTTAGAGAGAGAGGAATGGAGAGGGAGAGAGAGAAACATCGATGAGAGAAAACATTGATTGGTTGCCTCCAGCATACCCTCCAACTGGGGATTTGGCTCACAGTCTGGACATGTGTTCTGACCAGGAATTGAACTGGTGACCTCTTGGTGCATGGGTTGATGCTCAACCACTGAGCCACACCAGCTGGGCTCAGAAGAAATTCTTATATTCATGTGTGAAGTGATTGCTTCAAAGGATAGCGCACTTCCTCCCTCCCACCCTCCCTTCCTTCCTTCTTTCCTTTCTTTTCTCTCCTTCCTTTCTTCCTTCCTCTCTTCCTCCTCCTCCTCAAGAACCAGGCCAGGTACCATAGATATGATGGTTCCTCCTCACCTTGATGATAGTGGCAAAATATTCCCCATTAATGAAATTGTCTGTCTTCAGGTAGAGGTCCCGTAGCTCACTTGCTCCTACAGGATTGTATTTGTCATTGAACTTATCAAAGCGCTGGAAGGTCTGGCGTCCCTGAATCAGGAAACAGGAACACAAGTGAATCATTAGACCTGCCTGGACACAAAGAGCTGAGGAATGGCCATGAGGAACAGGGGCCTGGTAGCAAGGGAAGGGGCTGGGCTCCAAGAATGGAACCTGGGACAGTTCACAAATGAATGAACTTCAAAATTGTGGTGCTTCCAGTCAGCATGGTAAGCCAACACGGCTCTGCCAAGGGAGGGGCTGTAGGAGAAAGACATGTGGGGCTCTTCAGTGTTCAAGTGAAACTGGCATTATCTTTACAACTTACAGCATGAACATCCAGAGAATCAACAGTCAGGTCGTAGGGATGCATTTTTAATTTGGCAAAAAGTTCCTTTAGGGTCAGATTTTTCTCCTTGGTGCTGTAGACCACTCTGTCTGCATCAATTTGGTAAGATTTCTTAATAAAGCGCAGAAGGTGTTTCTGGTTCATGCAAGCGGCTGCATGGATATGGGTATCCACCTGCGTGTACATTCAGAGAAAGAAAAATCGACAAGCAGCTTTAGTTATACTGCTCTGTTAGAGGCTATGGTGCCTGCAGATTCCACTGTGGTGAGAGAAAGGAGTAAGTAGCAGGGCTGTGACCTGACGGCTGATGGAAAAGGCCTAGCAAAGGAAACAACCCAACCCAACCAAACAAAACACCCATAGCACCTTTTTGTGTCATTGCGAGGATGTGAAAGGTTAGGCTGGATGCAATAACAGTGCTTGCTTCTCTTGGATAACTGTACATCTAATCTACTTCCAGTTTACATTCAATCCACACAAAATTCTTGAGGACCATTCTCTACCTCAGAGACACATCTGGAAGTGAAGTAGCTACCACAGTTTTGAACCCCAAAGAGAAAGGGTTGAAATTATGAAGCCTTGGTACAGTGACAGCATGTATGAGTGAGATATTTTTATAATTACAATTTCATAAGCTAAAGTTTTGATAGATCATTTGCCCAAGATTATATAGGTGGCTGAGCCAGGATTTGGTCCTGCATCTCTGCTCTTATAGTTTCTTTTATATTTTTATTTTTTGGTACGTGCCCCTAGCAGGAACCGAACCAGGGACTCTCTGGTCTGCAGGCTGATGCTCCAACCGCTGAGCCAAACCGGCCAGGGCTGCTCTTATATTTTCTAGTCCCACTTCCTTGAAACCACTTAAATGGTCAGAACACATCTTGGAAGTGTTTCTAGTTGGTGAGTTTTCCTCAATCATTAGCTCATTGGATATCACAATTGTTTTGTGAGCTAGCCTGAGCATATATATTCCCCAATGAGGAATATGAAAATCAGAAAACCCTGGCTGGCTGGTTTGGCTCAGCGGTTAGAGCATTGGCCTGAGGACCAAGGAGTCCTGGGTTCAATTCCAAGGGCATGTACCTTGTTGTGGTTAGTCCCCGGCCCCAGTTGGGGTCGTGTGGGTGGCAACTGAACAGTGTGTCTCTCACATCGATGTTTCTCTCTCTCTCTCTCTCTCTCTCTCTCTCTCTCTCTCTCTTCCTCTCCCTCTCCGTCCCACTCTGTTTGAAGATAAATGTAAAAATATCCTCTGGTGAGGATTAAAAAAAAAGAAAATCAGAAATACTTAATCAACTTCCCCAATATATTACAGTCAGGAAGTAGAAATAAAAGGACAAAATAAAAATCTTTCATATCCTAGAATAGTGTGGGTTTTGAGGTTTTATTTGCTTTCATTACTTTTGTTGTTGAGGATTATAATTTTTATGGCAAGAATATAGTAAATCTTTCTATGTGGAAACCCATACAGATGTTTTTACCCTTTTAGACATAATCTGTCTACTTTCAGTAAATTCCACTGAATCTATAATCTTACATTAATCAGAAAAACAGTATCTTTCTTGTCCTGCTCCAGAAATACTAATTGTGTTAATGTTTTTGTCCAGGAATGACCTCTGAGCAGCAAAATGTTTACCTTCCTGCAGTTGTAAAAATCCCTGTGGGCATTGTTCTTCAGCTCCTTTAACTCCTCCATCTCATTGAGCATCTCATGGACCTGGAACTTGGAGGAGAGGAACTTCAGGCGCCGGTGGGTATATGTCTTTCTGTGAAAAATTAAATCACATGATTATAAAAAATTCCAGGCATTTAAGGAAAACAGTCAATTTCAAAACCATTAGCCCTAGCCAGTTTGGCTCAGCAGTTAGAGTGTCAGCCTGCGGACCAAAGACACCAGGGTTCGGTTTCCGCTAAGGGTATGTACCTCCGTTGCAGTTTGTCCTCGGCCCCGGTTGGGGTTGTGTGGGTGGCAAACAGTCGATGTGTCTCTCTCATCTCGATGTTTCTCTCTCTCTCTCTTCCTCCCTCTCTCCTTCCCGCTCTATCTGAGGATAAATGCAAAAATGTCCTCTGGTGAGGATAAAAAATAAAAAAATAAAAACTTCCTGCCATTTCTTTAAAAAAAAAAAAATCAGAACCCTCAACAACTACAGGAAACAATTATTAGAACAAACATTTTGATTTACTCTGGGTTCCCAGGGCTTAATCCTTAATCTTTTCATCTACATTGGACATGGTAAGGAGGGAGGACTTGGGAAGGCATTTCAAAGTCATGGGTGACTGTGGCTCAAGGTGAAGGCCTTGGCTTTGGAGTTGGCAGCTTTGGGCTCAAATCCTGGCTCAGTCAGCTGCGTGACTTTGGGCTAATTACTTAACTCATCAAAGTCCAGCTATAAAAGTGGAATTATGAAAATACCCACTTCATAGAACAATTGTCAAGAGTATAAAAAAATCATGTACATGGAGGGTTTAACATAGTATTTAAACATCACAAACACTTAATAAATACCTATTTTTACTACCAGTTGTCATAGTAGGTCAGGTCTCACTAAATACTTACACAGGTCCTTGGGCAATCAAAGCAAGTAAAAAATTCATATCATCTATGAAGGAGTCCAGATTGAGGTAAGGAAGCGGCTTAGGCTCATCTTTGCTGGCCGATGCTTCATTAGGATAGATGTGGACTACGCCGTCCTTCATTTTGAGGTGATAATGCAGGTTTTCTGGGAGGTTGTCTGTTCGGAAGGGGTCTTCTCCCTTCTTCACAGGTGGGGTAAAGACTTTTTCAATAAAACACAGAGTAATATATCAGCACACAGAATGAATGGCCACATAAAAATAACCAAAAGATGAAATACTGTAAAATCTCATTTGTTTGGAATCCTGCACTTTGCAGGTTGTCATTATCCAGAGCTGAGCTAAAGTTTATTTTTACATTATTGTTCAAAAGTGGCTAAACAGTAGTATAAAATAACTATACTATTTCATCTAGTGTAAGAATAATTTTCAAGCTCCTTAGAAGTACTGTTTACATAATTGATACATTTCTTACAAATAATTTTAATTATTTACTGAATTTGGTTATCAAAGGCCTCCTGTTTAGAGCATTTTATTAGCTTCTGAGATAATTGCGTAGAAATAAAAGTAAAACTATAGTTAAAAAATAGAGTTTGGATCTTTTCCTTATTTAAACCAACCTTCTCTATCAGTCTTAATTTAAAGAGGTTATTTTTTCATAGACTAAGTTATTAGAGCAGTTTTAGGTTCACAGCAAAATTGAGCACCAAGTACAGAGTTCCCATGTACCGCTGCCCCAGCCCCACCCTACACACAGCCTCACTGCCGCCATCCCCCACCGGAGAGGCACATTTGTTTCAATCAATGAGCCTACACCGACACCTCATTATCACCCAAAGTCTGTAATTTACGTCAGGGTTCACTCTTGGTTTTGTACATTCTGTGGGCTTTGACAAATGTATAATGACATGTATACACCTTTACAGTATCACAGAATAATCTCACTGCTCTAGAAATCCTTTGTGCTCCATTTAGAGTGGTTTTAATATAAATGGAAATATAAAATAAAGTTTTATTGTAAGAATTTTAATTCTTATTGTAATGATATTTCCCACCATTTCTGCTAAAGGAACTAAGAAGAGATTATATGGATGAATGGCCCCTTCTTTCCACTGTTACAGTTTCAACCTAAGAAAGCCAAGAACAAAGTCCTTGAAAGCACTCATCCTTTTACTTTCTTTATATATATTTCTTCTTTTTTGATATTAGAGAGAGAGGAAGAGAGAGATGGAAACATCAATGAGAGAGAACATTGATTGGCCACCTCCTGCATGCCCCCCACTGGGGATTAGGCCCACAACCTGGGCGTGTGCCCTGACCGGGAATCGAACCAGTAACCTCTTAGTGAGTGCATGGGTCGACACTCAACCTCTGAGCAACACTGGCTGGGCTCACCCTTTTACTTTCAACAAGTATGTGCCCAAGGCATCAAAAAGTCCCCTGTTTACAAGTGACTACTAAGATAGCCAGAGTGAGAAAAAAATAGAAAAAAAAATTTGCATATTTTTGTGTTCAAAACTGGGTGATAAGGAACACGAAAGAAATGAAACAGGGCCCAGCTGGTGTGGCTCAGTGGTTGAGCATTGACCCATGCACCAAGAGGTCACCAGTTTTAAATTTTTTTTTTTTTTTTTTTATCCTCACCCGAGGACATTTTTCCATTTTTTGTACAGATAGAGTGGGAGGGAGAGAGAGGAAGAGAGAGAAAGGGAAACATCGATGTGAAAGGGACACATCGAGTGGCTGCCACCCGCACGACCAACCAGGGCCGGGGACAAACTGCAACCGAGGTACATGCCCTCAGCGGGAACCGAACCCGGGTCTCTGCGGACCGCAGGTGGATGCTCTAACCGCTGAGCCAAACTGGCCAGGGCGGTCACCAGTTTAATTCCTGGTCAGGGCACATGCCCAGGATGTGGGCCAAATCCCCTGTCATGGGGCATGCTGGAGGCGACCAATTGATGTTCTCTCTCATCAATGTTTTTCTCTCTCTCTTTCTCTTTGTTCCTCTCTCTCTAAAAATCAATAACGAAAAAAAGAAATGAAACAGTATGTTGCTACATCAAATATCAATTTTCCTTATACTTAAACATTCTAGTGAGATAAAGTATAATTTAGGAGATAGAAAGACAAGTCAGCCCTGGCTGGTTTGGCTTAGTGGTTGGAGCGTCGGCCTGTGGTACAGAGAGACCCGGGTTCGGTTCCCGCTAAGGGCGCGTACCTCGGTTGCAGTTTGTCCCCGGCCCTGGTTGGTCGTGCGGGTGGCAGCCACTTGATGTGTCCCTTCACATCGATGTTTCTTTCTCTCTCTCTTCCTCTCTCTCCCTCCCGCTCTATCTGAACAAAAAATGGAAAAATGTCCTCGAGTGAGGATAAAAAAAAAAAAAAAAAAGACAAGTCAAACTTCCTAAATGTCAATATTTTATTTATTTATTTATTTTTTAATATTTTATTTATTTATTTTTAATCCTCACCTGAGGACATTTTTTCATATTTTATTCAAGTAGAGTGGGAGGGAGAGAGCGAAAGAGAGAGACATCTACCAACCAGGGCCGGGGACAAACTGCAACGGAGGTACATGCCCTTAACGCGAACTGAACCTGGGTCTCTCTGGACCATAGGCTGACGCTCTAACCGCTGAGCCAAACCCACCAGGGCGTAAATGTCAATATTTTAGACAAAGGAATACCAATTTTATAAACTGGACACATGTTTAATATGACTTAATATTATAAGGAGATTTTGGAGAGAAAGTTGTAGGACTGGAAATCTTTTCCTAAAAAAAATATCTATAGATATAGATATAGATATAGATATAGATATAGATATAGATATAGATATAGATATATGTCTATATTATATACAGTGATACCTCGGTTCTCGAACGCCTCGGTTTTCGACCAAATGGAGATTCGAGAAACTTTTGTCTCGGAATCCGAACAAATATTTGGAACTCGAACTTCCGAGATGAGCCAAGTTGAGCCGAATGGCGTTCATTCGGCCCAGCACGCCTTGCTTGCGTCATCAGTGTGAGTGCAGAGAGAGAGTCACGCTTTGTGGAGTCATGCTTTCCTATTGGGGGTTTCATTGCTTCGGTTCTCGAACAATTCGGTTCTCGACCGTCCTCCTGGAACGAATTATGTTCGAGAACCGAGGTATCACTGTATATGTGTACATATTGTGTGTGTGTGTGTGTGTGTATTAATCCTTACCCAGGGACATGCTTTTATTTATTTTTAGACAAGAGGAAGGGAGAGAAAGAGAGAGAGAAAAACATCAATGTGAGAGTGAAACATCAATCCATTGCCTCCCGCCCTGACCAGGGATCAAACCTGCAACCATTTGGTGTACAGGACAGTGCTTCAACCAACTGAGCCACACCAGCCAGGGCTGGAAATCTTAAACTATGTAAGAATTTGGGTCCAGCCCTGGCCGGTTTGGCTCAGCGGTTAGACCCGGGTTCGGTTCCCACTAAGGGCACATACCTTGGTTGCAGTTTATCCCTGGCCCTAGTTGAGTCGTGTGGGTCGCAACCACTCGGTGTGTCACTTTCACGTCGATGTTTCTCTCTCTCTCTCCTTCCCACTCTATCTGAACAAAAAATGGAAAACTGTCCTCGGGTGAGGATTAAAAAAAAGAAAGAAAGAAAGAAAAAAGAATTTGGGTCCAGCTGGTGTGGTTCAGTGGTTGAACGTCAACCCATGCTCCAAGAGGTTGCCAGTTCGATTCCCACTCAGGGTACAGGCCTAGGTTGTAGGCCCAATCCCCAGGGGTGGGGCATGCAGGAGGTGGCCAATTGAAATTCTCTCTCATCAATGTTTCTATCTCTCTCTCTTCTTCTCCCTTCCTCTCTCTCTAAAGTTAATAAAAAATTTTAAAAAAAAAGAATTTGGGCCCTGGCCAGGTAGTTCAGTCAGTTAGAGCATAACTCTGCTATCCCAAGGTTGCAGGGTCAATCCCTGGTCAGGGCACATACAAGAATCAACCAATGAATGCATAAATAAGTGGAACAACAAATCAATGTTTCTCTCTCTCTCTCTCTCTCCCCCCTCCTCTCTCTCTAAAATCAATAAATTAAATTTAAAAAAAAGAATTTGCAAGTTCAAAAACCTTAAATATTTGTTTTCCCTGAAATTTCAATTCTAGAATTATAATCCTAAAGATATAAAGATGTTTATATAAAAATACTTATTGTAGCATTGTTGGAAATAAGTTTTAAAAGTCAGAAATCTAAGTGCCTAAAACCAGGAATTGGTTGAATAAATTATGATACAGTTATGCAATATAAGTCTGTGAAATTATTAAAATTTGATTATTTAAAAATATGTATTTGACTTTATACAAGGCAGAAAGTAAAACATGAGATATATAAAGTACTGTGGAAAGTCAAAACATGCAGTTTACTTTTATCCAGAGGTAGGAAGAAGGAGGGAAATGATAGTTTTTGGGCTGCCTTTTGAAGCATGAGGTTGGGTAGGGGTATTTGGAGACGCAATGAAAAAGTGAGGGAAGGGCATTGCAGGCACAGGGAACAGCATGCAACAATGCAGCCACAGGAAAGTGCTGAGCTAAACAGAAAACAGGAAATATTTTGACCAGAACCGAGTTCAAAGGTGCAATAGAGGAGTTGAGTTCATATGTAAGTTGAGTTTGCATGTCCAGAAATAAATGGATAAATAAAATGTAGTTAGGAGGCCAGATGGTTTTTAGCCTTGAATGCTAGGCTAAAAACTGAACTCATTGTTGTAGGCGATGGGAGCAGTTAAAGGTTTAGCCAGGAGAAGATCTGTGTTACAACTGGCACCAAAGTGACGATGAACTAAAAGAGAGTGAGATTAGTGGCCAGTTTTGCTCAGTGGTTAGAGCATCGGCTCACAGACCAGAGAGCCCCGAGTTCGGTTCCTGCTAGGGGCGCACACCTTGGTTGCAGTTTGTCCCCAGCCCCAGCTGGAGTTATGTGGGTGGCAACCAGTCGATGTGTCTCTCTCACACCGATGTTTCTCTCTCTCTCTCCCTTCCTCCCTCTCTCCCTCCCGCTGTATCTGAAGATAAATGCAAAAATGTCCTCGAGTGAGGATAAAAAGAAAAATCAAATAATAAAATAATTTAGTAGAGTAATTAGAACATAATGCAATAATTTGGACAAGGAGAAAATAGGCTTAAATTAGGTTTGGGGGAATCGCGAAGGAGAAGTCTTGAGACATACTATACAGACTGAATTAAGAGACTGGACACGTGGATAGAAAGAATGGAGCCAAAGGTGACTGATATTTTTAGACCGGATTATATATAATCTAGGGGCATATTTAATAATAATTGAACTTAAAGATATATTCCATACATTGTAGAAGAGAATTACTTACCTGGATAGAAGTTCTCATTTGCTACCCAAGGCTCACCGTCAATGTTCCGCAGGTACTTGGAGGGGGTTTTAGGGAACCTCTGAAAGGATTTCTGCATGTATTTCTCCCGGATACACAGGGCCTGATATAGACCCTTACATACCATCTCAAAATCTTCTACTGTAACCTGCCAAGAACATTTCAGGGTGTCAGAATCGCTCCTGTGTAAATCCGAGAAGTGGGCAAAGCTTGTTGGCACCTCCCAGTTGTCCTGGGTGTTGCCGAGCCCCACCTGCCATGTGGTTGCTGCCTAACTGACTTGGGCCCTGTGTCTCCCTCCAGGTGCAGGTCCCGACATTTTCTCACTCAGCCATTTTTACCAAAACTTACCTGTGGAACAAGTCTTTCCTGTGTTTGGTTTTTACTAGATAGCAGTGATTTTCTAGCAAATATGATTTAAAAACCCATTCTCACATGGAATGTTTTCCCTTGCTTCCTTCCTGGTAATATATGAACATTTTACTTATAAGCGTGTGAAGACAGTATCTCACCTGGAAGTCAGTGTGGCTCTCATTTGGGAATTCAAACCACTTGCTGGTCAGTGAGAGAGATATTTGGGGGTGTTTTAGTTTTTAACCCACATGCACCTCCTTCTGTAGCTTTAAATGGATCAGAACATCATCCTGTGAGAAATCATTCTTTTGGATAATTTCAAAGAGAACTTTATCTGTGGCTAAAGGTAGAGAGATTCTAGAGTAAAACTGTCTTGGAACTGCTGGACATTTGCTAGACCTGTCTATTTCCCGTGCTCCATCCCTGACTCCTGGCTGGGCCTGGTGGGCCCAAGCAGTAATAACTTGAAATCACTGAATGCTCATCGTCAGAGCATTTCTGGGACCAATATAAGCTTGTTCTCACTGATTTGAAGTCCTGATATTGATTCTAATCAACTGAACTCTTTAAAAAAAACCTGCTGACCTTGGCCAAGAGAGTCCAGCATAGGTACCAGGCCTGAGGGTCTGCTTCCACTGGCATGCTTGCCTTGCCACCTCAGGGGCAAGATCTGGATCTCACTCACCTTTGTGTCCTTAGCACTTAGCACATGATGCCTGGCACAGAGTAGGTGCCCGGTAAGGACTGATTGAACTGAATCAGTTGTTCTCAGGGATCAGTGGCCTTGAGGACTTAGTCCTGATTGCCCTTTACCTCTCTGTTCAATTAACAGGGTGAAGGTGGATTTGTACAGACTATGCCCAGGTGGAGTGCTGCTCAGCAACTCAGACACCTTCATGCGACAGGTAGAGCAACACACTTGGTTCATCAGACTCCAGACCGAGGCTTCAGGTGCCCTTCATAGGAGGACTGGCCTCTCCCTGACTTCTGTGAACCTTGTGCTTCCTCCCATCTTCTTTTATTCCTCTTTTCATTTTACCAAGCACATAGATATCAAGTTTGTCTCTTCGTTTTTTGTTTATCCACACCCGAGGACATTTTTGCATTTATCTTCAGGTAGAGTGGGAGGGAGAGGACGGGGAGAGAGAGAGAGAAACATCGATGTGAGAGAGACACATCGAGTGGTTGCCACCCACACGACCCCAACCGGGGCCAGGGACAAACTGCAACCGAGGTACGTGCCCTTAGTGGGAACCGAACCCAGGACTCTCTGGTCCGCAGGCCGATGCTCTAACCTCTGAGCCAAACTGGCCAGGGCTGTCTCCTCATTTTTATAGTTTTTTTGAACTCCATAGTTTTCCAACCTTCATTTCCATGTCACTACTAAACAGTTTATTTCAATTATTTAGCATCTAAACCCCCTGCCATTTGCAGAGCACCCATGTTGTCATACAGAAAATGAATAAATGACAGTAGTGGTCATTACACTGCTCTGTCACTTTTAAATATCTCAGAACTAACTCTAAGTGGGTCAGTCGCAGAGAGGGTGCTTAGGACTGGTCATGAAAACTATATTTGGAGCACAGAGTGATAAATAAATAGCATCACCAATATGATGCTGATTCTGCAAGTCAATTGTGGCAGAGATTTATTAACTGACCAACTGTTGTAGGTAGAACAAGCAGATCAAGTTGTTTGTGACTTGAGCTTACTATCCCTGTGGCATCCTAGAGTCTGTTCCAAGCAATACTCTATTATGTAAGCATCTGAAATGAAACTGGAGAGGACAGTTGGTCACAACCCAATAGCCCCATTAGAATTTTCTCATCTTTCTTTTTTTTAATGGTTTCTCCACTCTTCTCTCTTCCCCCTCCTTTTTCTTGGTTTAGTTTACGCTGCCTGCAGCCATTCTCTCTATTCTAGGTCTGTCCCAAGTCCATCTTTCCAAGGACCCTCCGTGCCTCCTGGAGGCTCTCGTTCCTGTTTTGTGATGCCCTCAGTAAGACGAGTCCACCAACTGCTCTCTTTGGTTCTTTTGCCCAAATCTGTCCACTGCATTCTGTAATGCATACACTGCATTCTACTGCATATTCTCCATTGTCAAGAAATGAGGTAAAGGAGGAGAAATTATGGGGGATGATGAAAGCAAGACAGAAATATAAGTCATGACATATTGGTGTTAAAATGCAATAATATATAATAAAGGGCAGGTGAGCTAACACCTTCCTCAAAAGGAAAGGGGGGAGGTAAGAAGCTGAAACAATCAAGCTGAGCATCTTCCCAGCAGTTACATCTGATGCGCAAGGAGCAACTCACCCCAGAGGCATAATCACCAGTGATCTGCACTCTCTGAAAATCAGGCACAGTCTGATAAGTTGGAGAAGAAGAGATGTATTCATCAATGTGGGACATTTTGGTGGAAGATGTTTCACTTTGTGGAATGGAGAGATTAATAGTCTTCCGTCCAAAGAAATGCTTTTTTCTGGGTTTGAAATGAAAAATAAATTAATAAAAGGATTTATTTTTGTCTTCATTGGCAGTTTAATTGTGATAAATTGATGTTTCACTATAGAGTTTCATTTTGAGAACAAAAAGTGAAAATTAAAATGTGGGTTGGGTGTTAGAAACAGGATCCAATCCTATGGGGGGGCTATCACATGACAGTGTTTCCTTCTTCTTGGAATGGGGGCCTGAGGAAACATACTAGAAGATTTTCAGCATGATGTTGTCCTGCTGAACAGGACAGTAGCCCACTCCTAGCAGAATAGGCAGTCTGGGGACCACAATAAACACAGGCTATGTCAGTTACTACCTGTGTCATTTAGTGCATATTCCTTAACTTATATGAGCATCTGTCTCCCCATCTGCCAAAAAAATGGTGTAATAATGCCTACCTTACAGGCTTTCTGTAAGATTTCATGTATATAAAATGCCTAGCACAATACCTGGAATTTTAAGTTGCTTAATCAATATTACTTCTTCAAATCGACAAGTACTTATTGAATTTTTACTTTGACCCAAGCCCGATGTTGGGTCCTATGGGGGCTGACAAATAAGGTGAATTTGTTATTCTTTCCTTAAAGATATAAAGCCAAGAGAAAGACAACAGACTGATCTTTTCCCTGTGAAGCTGGAGATAGAAGGGTAGGAGAGTTATATGAGGTGGGGGTTCCAGGTAAGTGGTTTATATAGGTCTGAGGACAAAGTGATGGCAGATTCTGAGTAGTAGAGTAGTTCAAATAAGTGAAAACAAACAGATTTGTAGAGAGGAATCTATGAAAGTTGTTGGGAGGCAGTAATTCTGCATTATAGGCATAGAGTGGGCCTGGCATGAGGGCAGAAATGGAAGGCTGGGTCCTGGAGGAGGTCTGACTGGCTGGAGGACAGGATTCGCATCAAGCAGAATACTAAGCTGGCTGAGGTCAGAGTCTGAAGATGAGGCTCTTGAGTTCCAGTTCCTGAACCCATCAGGCATAAGCTGAGTGTGTGCACAGCAGCCAGCAGCTTGCTTTGGTTTGGAACAAGTGCATAGTAGCTCATGTCCTGTAGCTTGGGCAGACAGGGAGGCTTCAGTTAAAGGGAGTTGAGACTGAGGGTAGGAGGGCCACTGTTTTCTTCCATTTCAGTCGTATGTGATGGGGGTGGGGCGGGGGAGAGAATTTTTAAGTTACTGGCAGAGTTCTTCCTCTGAGTTGAACCATCATTCAGACACACTGAACCATCTACCCTGATATTTCCCCTTCCGTGTGTCCCAGTGTACTAAGTACCCATCTCCCTTACACCACTTACCTCTTGCCTTCTGTGGAGGTGGACAGAGACTCCAGGTGGAATATGTGTGCTTGCATCTCAAGATGGGAAATTGGACAGTTTTCATCCACATCAAAGGGGGAAATCTCTTGACGGCCTCCCTCATCTTTGACTTCAGAGGCAAACACTTTTTCAGCAAAGCTACGCATTGCATCGTCAATTTCTAAAAGAGGTGTGCATGTGTTAGTACTCAAGCCCTTTCCCAGATGCCACCCAAGGGTTTCTGCTATGTGTAAGGCTCAGTGCTAAGGACTGTCCTGGGTGCATGGCTCCCCTGCTGTCTGACTGTCCCAGAAACGCGATGGGAGTCGATGCCTGCACTCTCTTTAGTGGCTTAGTGTGGGCAGCTTGGAATCCATTCTCAGAAACACAGGTCAGATTCTTACAACATATTTCAGGAGGGTCCTAAAGATGGCTTTGAGCTCTTGCAGGACTAACACTTAATGTAAGATAGCCTTATCTGTCAGGGCTGAGTTTGATATCACAGTAACTATGCAGCACAGTCCTTCCATTAGGTTGGTGGAGTTTTTCAGTGGTTTTGAAGATGTACATCGGGTTGTTGGTCCTTGGAGTTTTTCTTCCTAAAGAGAACCAGTGATCTAAGTCTTCTGAAAAAAATATATACGTTAGGGCCTTTCTTCCTCATAGGATTGACATTATGTTTCTCTCGCACATCACAACCTCATTTGTTTTTTCCTCAAATCCTGACAGCTTCAGGGTATCCTGGTGTAGGGGGAAGGGGACCACTAAAATGTACTACCTAGTGTTGGGAGTCCCATTTCTGTGGATGTGTGGCTTCCATAATGAGTGAGCCTTGGAAAACCACTTTTACTTTTACATGCTTTAATTTTTTCATTCTTAAGATGGGTGGAGGGGTGACCTTTAGCTCAGCATGAACAATCCCCAAGACTCTCAAGATATAAGAAAGGGTAGCGATGACCATCAAGCATTCCACTGTATTTTCCAGATACCCAATTGTTCCCATCTGAAGAGTCATTACCTCTAATACTTCTAAAAGTCTCTTGTTTTTTCCAGCAAAGCACAGGTAGCAAACAATGAAAATGGCAAACAGCTATTGGGAGCAACAGTGAAAGACAGAAATATTCTTCGCATGATGACAACGCAAAGTGCATGCAAAGAGAAAGACCCCCCTCCACTCCTGCTCTATCAATGTCTCTACAGATCTCCAAAATGCCACAATTTCAATTCTAACTTAAGCAAGTGTAATGTGTTCAAGTCTCTGTTCTGCACTTAACAACCCCTTCAGCTCCTCTGTTTCCGTTTCCTTCTCGGTACAGGGAGAAGGCCGGTGCTACCAAACCTCACTCGCAAGGCTGTCATGACACAAGTGAGCTAATGGATGTGGAAATGCTTCAAGGAAAACAAAGCGCCAGAGTAAACTGCATGATGTAATTTGGTAGCCTTGGTCAGACAGATATGTGTTCTGGGTTAGCTTTGGGCTATTAAGGAAATGATAAATGATCTGATTTAGTATAGGCTGAAGCACACATTGGAGATGACAGTAACTGGTTCATAACTTCACCAACACCAACAGTCAGTCAGCCAGTGTTCAAAGCCTGGCTTGTCACAGCTGAGTAACAGAGAAGCCCACTATGTTGGCTGAATTTCATGCATCTATTTGTTCCATTGAACTCAAGCACTTCCTGAAACTGAAAAGCATCTTTGGGTGCCGTGAGTAGTTCTTTGGCAAGCATCACAATCCAGGAAGGAACAAATAAAACACTAAGTAGGTACATTTGATGGCCTGAGAATGCCTCCCCACCCCACTGCCGCCCAACGCCTAGAAGTTGCATCGTTTCCCCCGAGCACCACGAGCAAGCACATGCACCTCCAGGTGAACGACAAGCAGACATGAGAAAGGCTCCATGCACCGTGAAGGGAAAATGGTAGTAGGCCAGTTGATGATGATGAAGATGAGGATGCTGGGTCTGTGGCAATGCTGCTGGAGGCCTCAGGAAGGACAGTAAGAAATAGATGCTCAGGAACCAAATCCTACTTGCTTGAGATCTGGCTCTTGCAGAACAAGCATTCATTATCTGGGACTGCACACATCCATTTGTTTCATATTTTTAACATTGTTCTCAACCCATTGTGGCTCAGTGGAT